CAACACTTGAACAGATAAATGAAACCATGAATGTTGCATATTCTCTGTCTGAAATTGGCTTTATAAGTTCAGTCAGACAGCTCACGTTTGAAATGTTTATTACAGCAGTATAGCATATTTAGATTTTGGAGTCTAGGCTCCGACCTCATCGTTCCCCGCAGATATGTTTACATAGAGATATTGGGGAGTGATAAGCAAATACCTTAAAACCCTGTAGCTGTAGCCTACAGGTGGATGCTGCGATGGTGGTGAGGCTTACAGAGCAGCAGGCAGCAATACGGATGCAGGGCAACAGCGGCATTGACAGAGCAGAGGGAGAGCTGGGAAATATGTGCAGTTTAAATAGACCGCCAGATTGGAATCGTGCGCTTGGTTAGTGATTATGGAGTGAGTCATTTGTATAGCAGCGCAGCTCGAGTTGACTGCCTGAACTAGCTCACAGGCTTCACTCCATTAGTCGGCTGGTTACCATGAACTCCAGTTTACAGCTGCCCTCTCTATATTTTAATATATCTGAGTGCAGAAATGCTTAATATTAAAAGCCAATGCTTTTTACTGTTAATGGCTTTCTGTTACCAGATTGCATACATACTATGGAAAGACAATACAGGAAAGGGATCTCCACATATTTATATTTAAGTAATATAATATACTGTTAGGGTTGGGCCGATTTTCAAACCGGTTTGGTAGTGAAATACCGGACCGGTAATTTGATTTTACCACTTGGTGAGTCAGCCACTCCGGAGTGGAACATAATCACAGCCTATGAATGACAGTGCAGTCGCATTTTCCTCAATGCGGTTCTGCAAATGTTTCACAATAAAAGCCTTGTGAAAAACAGTGTTTGGCTAGTTACTCAAAAAAATTTATTATGTAATACTTACTAAAAGTAATATTGTGACTTAACTTATTACTCCCTGCCAACAGTAATTAATTACACTACTAGTTATATTACTTTTCTGTTACCCTCCACAAAATCGACTTATTATGATTGAAATCCTGTTTTCTTCTAAATCGAAGTAATGGAATATTTCCAGCTATTGAATGTAAGCGTTTTCATGGATTGTTGGATTTTAAATCAGTAGTGGGTTACAACAAAATTAAAGTTGTAACTAACACGTCTTGTCTTGTAATGAAAAATGCTGATTCAGTCATTTTGCATAAAATCAAACCGGATTAAGCTTGTCCAAGGCTAAACCAGACAACAACCTAACCCTACCAACCCCACCAGACCACTTAGACTACTATCACAATTTCTAACACTACAGCTGTCATGCATGGAATGTTTGGTATCAGACACATTTTAAAGATACTGTTCCACTTCCTGACTGAGATTACTAGACACAAACTGAGCTGACTGACGGCTGTCTTGGTGTATGTAAAGCACCAAAAGCATGGCTTACACGGATGGAGTGCATATGATTAGAACCATTGTTTATTATTATTATTATTATTATTATTATTATGCAGCAGTTTACTTTAATTGCGTGTTCCTTAATCATAAATATTATGTTCTATGTGGATGTTTAAGCAGCTGAACGCTTCATAAATGCAGCATTATGAAGGAAGACGAAGCACAAAGCAGGAGTCTGTTTATACAGGAAGCAAGCTATCATCACATGCACACACACAACACACACACACACACACACACACACACACACACACAAACACCTTTCCCAGTGTACTGGCCTGCAACAACCATGAAAGGATAGTGTGTGTGTGTGTGTGTGTGTGTGTGTGTGTGTGTGTGTGTGTGTGTGTGTGTGTGTGTGTGTGTGTGTGAGTGTGTGAGTGAGTGAGTGAGTGAGTGAGAGAGTGAGAGAGAGAGAGAGAGAGAGAGAGAGAGCATCTCTCTTATCAGATTGAGTAGGCATTGTGTAAGAAGAAAGGATTAGGGTCTGTAAAAGTGTGAGAATAAAGGGAGTGGAGCCAAACATAGACAACACACACAGACACACACACACACACGTAGAACAGAGCGGAGACGGGGCGCACCACTGCCACCGTAATTATTTCCCCAGCGTTTGACAGGGTGCCAGCAATTACCTGATACCAGGACTCCTTATCTTTTGTATGGAGGGCAGGTTCACACTTGTAGCCTCAGCGAACCCAGCCGAGTCCTCACACAACACACACATACCCCTCCCCAGCCTGCCTGGAGCCTAGAGGCTGTGAGCCAATAGCTGCACAGGTAGGAACTGAAACAAGTTAGGTGTGTGATATAAGGCCTAGCTGAGTAATTAGGGCCCTATTGTATTGGCTCAGATTATTATTATTATTATTGTTTGTAAAAAATAAATTCCCAAATCTGGGTCTTGCACGTGGGTGTGTCAAATGGCTCAAAAATGCCCCCTACAAATATTCAATAAAGCAGCCCTGGCGTCCCATTTCACCAGCATGTATGAAAATCGGTAGGTCTATGTATCATGTCAAGATGAAAGTAAAAAAAAGCCTCTTGAAGCCATAGCCTAAATCCAACAGGAAGCCATTTTGAATTTAATGTCAAATTTTGCTGCCATTTCTGACAATTTCAGGGCTTCTATTTTAACGAACTCCTCCTAGGGAATTGATCAGAACGGCTTGAAAATGGGCCGGTACACTCCAAAGAAGTTTAAGATGAAAAGTTATCATAAGCTTTAGATTTGGTCAAACGGTGTGTTGTGGCATGCTGCCAAAAATTGACATGACAAGACAACTTAACCCCTCTTAGTTCAGTATCCATTCTGCAAACAGCCTCAAATTTTACATATTTGTTGTGTATTTGATATTTGAAGAAGTGAGGGCCTGTTCATCGCTGCTTGCAGTTTTATTTATTTTTATCGTTTTTTATTTTCAATGAATTCATTTCCAAGAAGTTTTGTTTTATCCAACCACCAATCCACAACACAAAGATATCATTTTTACAATAATATAAAACAGAGAAAAGCAACAAGCCCTTATGTTGGAACTGTGAGTGATTGTAAATGATTCATTTACTTCAGCATCAATGGAAATTAAAGCTGAAACTTCACAGCCAGATAGCACAAACCACATAATATATTTGTGGGTGTACTGTTGGTGCTGCATTCATGTCTTCATTAATGTATAATCAGCTGAAAATAAGATTCGTTATGTTTTCGTTACCTTAGATTGAGCCGTTTTTATCTACAGAGGGAGCGATTTGTTTCACTGTCAGAATTTGATCCATGCAGTTTGGAAAGTCTTGAAGAGCTGCGTGATTAATTATTTTATCCCCATTTAAAGTTAGAGGAAGGCTAAACAGGAAGTTAGCTGGCTTGGCCAGTAGAACTCTCTGGTCTCAATATGCATTTATATAAGGGAACTGTGTTTTCTGGCTTCATGCACGAAAGTCAAATACTCTCTCAATCCTACTATTTTAGATGTTTTTAATAGAAAATGAGCCCATCCTGTTCTTCTGGGGGATTTTTTGGTTTCTTACCTAAGACTTATGTTTGTTTAGCACCTTTCTAAACAGCTAGTTAACTGAATTAATTCACTGATCTGTAATATTAACAAACAGGATAATGCACCTCTCTAAACAGAGACATTCTACAAGCAGCTCAAAGGCCAGCATTAGTGATAGCACTCAACACCCACTGAATGCTATTGCCTATGTGTGTGTGTGTCACTGATAGGTCATCGGCCTGGTCATACAACACACAGAGACTGTGACATTATAAGTGCTTGAAAATTAAATAGTTGTAATGGAAAATATAAAATTATGACATATATGTTTTTCACTTTAATGAGTTTGTGGAACAATTTTTTAAATGTGTTGTTTTTATTTCTAAAACTTAAAGATTTACAAGAAAAGAAAAGTAAATTATCATTATTATTAGTTTATTTCAAAACTTGGGACTTTAATTAATCAGTTATGTATTATGCTATGCGATGAGAGTAATAAGTATGCCAAGGTGACATGATGATAAAACCAAATATCTTAAAGGAAAATGTGCCAGTTGTGATGGTTTGGTATAGAGGGAGAGATATTGAGGTTTTCACCAGATGATGCAGGTAGCAGCTGTGGACCACTCTGGGTGACATCTCAGCTTTCACTTTGGAACTGTAATTATACACCCCTCCTCCTGCGACCCACCCATTCACATCTTCTCATGGTGTGTCACGTTGCAGTGGTTGGTTTTTGTAACACAAAACTACTGGATGCCCTGACTTCAGCTCTGACCTCAATCCACCCTTTGTGTTTGCAGCTTGAAGGTACCATGTGTGAAATGTGTGTGTGTGTGTTCAACAGAGGAAGGGGACAGTGTTCCCATACAAAGACAAGTGGCTTAGAGCATTCAGGACCCACCAACCAAAAGAGACGGATTTAATATGATCTTCTGAGCAGACACAGGGTACATTCACCTACTGCAGAGTGTATACGTCCATACACATAGTATTCACTACACTGTCAAAGATTTACTTTTACTGGCTTTAGTGTCAGTCACTGTTAGAACTGTCTACCGGGGGGGTGAATTATCCGCAGAGGTCTCCTCCTCTCCAAAACAAATGGACACAGTTAAAACCGTTAAAAACACAGAATAAAGCAGTTCCACCTTAAAAGTGTTTCTCCGACAGTTTGGTAGACAAAGGAATGTATGGTAAAATTGTGGCATAAATTGTCAGCTTTATGACAAGACGAGGCTTTTTCTGACACATGCACAAAGGGGATATGACGCCATTGGCAGATGACGGGTGAAACGCGATTACACGCGTTACTTGAATAAAATTACAGATTTCTTGGGATAAACACTACACATCTCACCAACATATAGAACATAAGTCTAGTGTTTATAGACATTGTAATATGGAAATGTTACATTTTATAGCTTTGAAAAATAATGGAAGACCAGATGCAAAAATCTCAATGACTGATCACAATATGCAGCCCTTCCGATAGCAAAAGCTCAAATTAATTACAATTAGTAGAAGATAGGTGATAGATAGAGCTGAGACATTTTATTAACAACCTGTATATTCCTTATTTCCACCTGCAGCGCTGAAGAGATCCTTCGACATTGAAGAGGTGGACGACATACCATCGTTCTCTACAGCTTCCCCCATCTCCACCCCCGTTGCTCCCTCATCCCCCCATTTCTTCCTGAACCAAAACAAAGCCAGTGAGGGGCGGGGAGGAGGTTGCCAGTCCCCTTCATTAGCCTTCAACAACAACAACAACCTGGGCTCTACAGCCCACCACTCCCGCATCAGCCTGAGTTCCAATCCAAGCCCAGTGCTTAAGTCCCGTTCTGTAGTCAGTAGCCTGTCCTTCAACCGAGGAACCATGAACAAGCTGGCCATCCACAACAACGGCTCCTCCATGACCAGAGCTGCATCCTTCCAGAGCAGGTTAAACCCCAGCAGTTACTCCATGTCTGGGCCAGGCAGTGACAACGACAGCCTACACAGCTCCACATCCAGTCTGGAGTACTCTGGAGGATGTGGGGGTGCCCTTCCCCCTACTAAACATGGGTCATATTCCAGCCCTCCACCTCAAGGAGAGTACCATCGAACCCAGTCCCAGTTCCCACATCAACTAGAGGGAGGTGCCAACCTGGGAAGAACCCCCAACCTAAAGAAGTTCTCCTCCCATGGGAGTGTTTTCCACTCTGAGATGGACCAGGGGCAAGGGATGATGCTGGGTGTTCCAGAACCTCAGGGGGTGAACCATGGCTCCATGCCCAGCCTAGACCTCCAGATTCGTGATGGAGGAGGTGGAATGGTGAGTATGCAAAGGGGTAGCGGTGGAGACAGTATATCTCCAGGGTTGAGGTATGCCAATGCTAATGCCAACTGGAATGGTCGTCTGCATAATGCCAGTTCCTTTGGGGAGGAGGGCTACTGTGGCTCCAAAAACCACTGCCAGCAGCAAAGGCCCCAGATTCTCAAGGCTATGCAGCCTAAGGCCAAAGAGACTCCACGTCTTAACAAGTTTCCCTTAGACCTGGACAGCTTGGTAAGCAGTACCTCAACCTCTTCTCCCACCAAGGCTCAAGGAGGATCCATGAGCCCCACCCCCCCCAAGCCTCCTCCAAGGAGCACAGGAGGCTTCCAGCAACACACCAGCCCACCATCCACCTCAGCCAGCCCTTCAGCCTCTCTCAGCAGCCTGGAAAGTTCTTCTGAAACCCCACCCCTCTCCCTTCACCATCCCTTTTTGCCTTTCTCTCCATGTTCTCCAACTCTCTCACAGGGCTCCATCCCTGTCCCAGAGATGATATGCTCCCCAGTGCCCCTTTCTCCAGCCCAGAGCCTAAAACTGGAGATTCCTTCAGGGCCCCAAGTTGCTCAGGTGGTCTCCAATCTGCTTAGCCCTTACAGCCCCTCCAGCCTATCCAGCCCCAGAGCCATTCGGTCTTTGGAGGATGGAAAAGATACTGTAGGATCAATCTTACAGAGGATCGCTTCTTTCTCCCGGAATGTCTCCACTGACACTATCCCAGCAGCTGTCCAAGCTGCTACAGTCCAAAGCAATTGTGGGTCGTCATTTGGATGTCCTGCTGAGACCAGACCGACATGGAAACAGGGGAGAAAGAAACATGAAGGTAAGATAATTTTTGGAAATTGCTTTAAAAGATTTTTTGCTCTTTCTTTATAACCATTAATGATTGTATGTGCACTTGTCTGTGTTGTGTTTGTCTTTCTATTTGTGTGTAGTCTGTATTTGCTTGTTGTAAACCAGGCAACATGCAACATCTGCACTTTTTATCACCACTGATACGACAAGACCACAACACATGGAAACTTAAATCAGTGCTGTGTGTGTGTGTGCTGGTAAACTTTTGTCTGCATTGAAATGTGCCAATATATCTGATCTTGCAATACAATATCCACTCATAGTGACTACAGTATTTAAGTAATTTCTAGGAGACAGGGATTAATATAGTTTAGAGGATGGTAGAAGCTCACAATCATCTGTGTGGTGATTCTCCAATGTTCACAGTATTTACACACGTTATTGCTATGCTGATATCAAATACTGCATGTAAAAAAGCATCCACCTGTCCTCAGATGAAGCAGGAAGGGCTGTTGGTACTCTGACAGAAAAGTTTGGCAAAGCCAAACATGGAAAACACATGTCACAAAACACTGATTGACTCTTGTGACAAAATTTGAGGTTTTGTGAATTGGTGTGTGTGTACAAAGGTCTGTTTAACAAATGATGACAGGAAACATTTTTTCATGTCAGTGTGGGAAGACAAGTCAAGGTTAGCAGATGAACCTAGCCGCAACACCCATTTTAATAGTTTCCTGTTGTACTTAACTTCGTCTCACACACACACACACACACACACACACACACACACACACACACACACACTAGTAGAATATAAAAAAAAAATATATAAAAAATACTTTATATTATTTCCATTCTATGCAGCTTCATACTTCTACTCAACTACATCTCAGAGGTAAATATTGTACTTTTTACCCCACTACAATCATCCGACAGCTTTAGTTATTAGGTACTCCTCAAAATTATACTCTTCTTTACCAGTGAAAACCATGTATCTCCAAATTTGGTGATTTTGAATTTGAATGTGATAAATTGATTGACAAAGTGTTCCTTTATGTGTTGAGCAAATTTGTTAAAAATTAACTATTTTAGAAAACTTAAAATGTCACTATGTCACAAGCTGAAAACAGGCTGTTTTTTCTAATGAAATATCAAGGTTGCGCAATGATATGTTATGGATTGAAATTTCAACGACTCGCCATGAAAGAGGGATTTGCCATAAAATGTTCCGATCTCAACGAAACTTCGCGTTTGTTAAGAGTCCTGCCCTGAACACGTCTATATTCAGTAATAGTGAGAGCACCACCTAGTGGTGAAAGGAAATGTCATTTTTTATACTTCTTTGTTCTATTCCTGGCAGGATGATCAGATCTAACTGAAATTTAGTCAGGAAATGCAAAACATGTTGGTGATAGTATTTCATGATGGTGGTGATGGTTTGTTAAAGGGTGTGTCCGTGGCGTGGCATCAAATTTTGATGTACCGCCAGAACACACGAAGTTGCTATAACTTGAGTGTACATTGTCCATTCGGTTCCAAACTTCACATGTCTGATTAGGGTCCCGCCCCTTTTTCGCGCTGTATTTGAACGAACTCCTTCACATTCACCACAAAACAGTTAAAATGTTAGGAATACTATATAAACCATCTGTAGGCGGACTATCCAAAACAATTGTTACAGATAAATCTCCTCCTGCTTCCTTTTAACTAGCTTCTGGTCTGTGTGCTTTAAATTGACTATATAATTGTATAAAAATAGCCAATATTTTAGTTAATGGCCTCATTTGCTTACGTAGATCATATAGAGGCATCAGTATTAAATGAAATGAATGTTTCATTAACAGTTAAACACTACTTGTAGCTGCTTTAACAAACAGGAGGAATCTGTTTTACGGTGCCTGTGGGGATTTTCCCCTCAACTACTCCAATCTCATCATGTAATTAGTCCAATTCCTTTGAGATGAAAAAGATATAACAGAAGGACCCAACTGTACTCAGCTTCCTTCTCAATTCCCATATTAACTGTGACTCTCCTGAAAGCCCACATGACAACAAGAGAGATAGGAGGGTGTCAATGGTAGGTAGTTTTCCTGCCTTTAAGTTAGTGGGTTTTTTGATTGGGTTCTTAGTTAGATGTCTAAAGTAAAGTTTGTGGCTAACACAAGCTTTAGAGATTCTCAAGTTTTGTTCTATGACACAAAATACATCAGTAAATACTCCACCTGTGAATTTTGAATGTCTTAAAAAATGTGGTCGCTAACAAGTGCCTAGATGAGACTACAGAGATTGTCGGTGACATTAAAACACAGAGACTTATCTACTCACTAGCCCGCCTTTACAGCCTTATTTTGTTTATACTCGCAAACTATTTTAACTCAAAATTGGTTTTTAGTTACAAGATTTAATTACAAGTTGGAAGTTTAGTGGTGGTGACGTTGAACTCATGCGACCAAGGTGTGGTTCGTTTGTAGCCTAACATTAGCTTTTTACTTCTGCCGATGGCATTTGCGCTTCAAATATCATACATGTGGCGTTCATTTGGGAAGGTTATCATCGCCACAGTGCTTATTTTCTACAATAATCTAAAATCCAATGGAAAAATCCCATTGCCATATTGCCTACTTCCAGGTTGGCCTCTGAGTCCTCTGCAGGACTGCATACTCCTCTCAGAGCATTAAGACTATGAAAAGGCTTGCTCTGTGATGCATGGATAGGTCTTCACTTCATCCAAAGAGAGCAACTGCTGTTGCAAATCCTCCACAATGCATGTTGATGTAAATGTCTGATGGAGGAGGGGAATTTGTGCAGCTGTGGTTGGCAAGATAAGTTTGGGAACTGCTTTTGAATGAATGGAGCACTCAGTCCCACAAGTGACACATTTGTTGGACAGTTTCCTCACTGATAGGACAATCCTCTCGGTTGCAAACCCATGTTGTGACTTTAACGTAAACTTCTTTCAGAGTGCAGCTTCAGTTAACAGTTCTGTTAGGGTGTGAACATTGCTGCTGTCATCCGCGCTGTAAATAACAGGCTAATGTGCAATAATTGGCATTCACAGTGAAATTATTGTATTGCTCTATCAAGCGATTTTCTTAGATCGTTTTTTCCTATATAATGTATGAAAACAAAAAAGTGTCCCCTTCGTCTGCTTTTAGTGAAAGATACAGAGGCGAAGACGGCAAAAAAAGCATTGCAAGAAAAGAATGAAACAAAAAAAACATGAGGTCGTAAAGTAGAAATTAATAGTTAAGTTTTATCCTATCAGTCAGTAAATATTGTATATTATCATGTACTGAGTAAAGAGCACTATTCCCTCTCTGTTGACCACAACCCATACGTTATTCCCTGTTCATATCTCTCTCCACATCTCCTCCAGTTTAAGAAAGAATTCTATTTCTCTTTCTATTTTCCACACCTCTTTGCTCCATCAGTTCTTTTTCCCTCATTATTTCTGCTGCATCCCTTGTCAGCTGGAAAGTGATTTTATAGGCATGGCTCTCCAACAGCCAACAGTGATAAATATTCAGTGTCCAAACAGCACCATTATTATCTGAAAGAACTTTATTCACTCTTTCCTCTCTGCTCTTTTAATAATTTCTTTTTTCCTGACCTCCTCTCTTCCTCCCTCTCTTTACCTATCATGCCCAGGCTTGTTGGGACTCCTCCTCCTAACCCCTCTCTCTCTTTCTGATTCAGGCTTTAATGACAGTGATTTAGGGAATAAATTCCTCCTCTGCAGATGTCAGTTATCGTCCCGTTTTACTCTCCTCACTTTGTATGCTCTCTGTCACAAAAATAGTTTTTTGGATGGAGGACAGGCATTAGAGTAAGACAGAGAGACTCATAAGCCCCGTTTCCACCAAGCAGTTTGGTTCAGTTCATTACACATTTTTCGCGTTTCCATTGTCAAAAGTTGTGGATGGTACCAACACAACGACTCTATTTTTTTGTTACCCTTCTGTTGAGGTCAGTGTCTGAATTGGAGCAAAAAAGGTGCCAGTACAACCCTAACCCTAAACACAACGAAACCCTAATGCTTTTGCCATTTTTAATCCAGGGCTGCTTTCTTAGCATTAAGGTAGCTTTGTGTCTACACAGAGATACAGTTACAGAAGTGTTTAGGAGTACCTGACCAGGATTGCTGTAAATAGGGTTTTAGAAATACTGAGGTCCCAAAAACTGACCTTGTTAGGGGCGTTTGGGGTCTTGCATCAAATCATCAAATTAAAGTTAATTTTAGGCAATTTTTTAACAACTTTTTTGAGATTAGATTAGATTCAACTATATTGTCATTGCACAAGAACAGGTACTTGGCAACGAAATGCAGTTAAGCATCTAACCAGAAGTGCAAAGCTGTAAAGTGCAGTAATCTGCATATGTACAAAAATATGTAAAAAAAAAAAAGATATGAATATACTAGCAGGATATTTAGTACTTAACGGTATTAACAGAATGAGCGGAGTGAGGTGAATACACTAAGATATATACAGCTATTAAGTTGAGTTATTTACAGTGTGAACAGACTAATAGTAAATTATATAGTGCGGCTGTAAGTACAAGTAATTAAATTTGTTGACATTATATACAGACAGCTAGATATGATTACACTATAGGGAGATATGCATAACACAGAAAGAAAGACAGTTCAGTGGGAGTTCAGGGGGAAGGGGAGACCCCTCCTCCTCGATACAGAGTTTAGCAGGCTGACAGCTGATGGGAAAAAGCTGTTCCTGAGTTGCTAGTTTGGGAATAGAGAGACCTGTTGCGCTTCCCAGAGAGGAGGAGTTCTGTGTTCTGGGTGGGATGTGTCCCTAGCAATGCTGCGCGCCTTCCGCAGACATAGCTTGCTCTGGACACCCCCAATGCTGGGGAGAGGTTAACCGGTGATTTGCTGGGCAGTTTTCCCCACCCTCTGCAGAAAATGCTCTCGATGGTGCAGCGGTAGTTCACCGGAATCTGAGGAGACAGATGGGCCTTCTTGAGTCTCCTCAAGAAGAAGAGACGCTGGTGAGCCTTCTTGATCAGGGT